CCTATGCCCTGGCATGTATTTCTCATCACATCTAAAACACAACCCCTTTGCCCTCTTCTCCTGTATCTCCTTCTCAGTTAGCCTTTTGAAATTTCCCCCTCCAGTTCTCTCTTTGGGTATTTCCCTCAACCCCCCTGTTGCCGGTGCCTTTGGAGCTAAGAAAGTAGTGGTCATTCTGTAAGATCCTCCAGAATTGCTTCCCCTAATCCCCTTCTCCAGATGCTTTTGGTCCTCCACCAGCTGAGCTAGCTCCATGGCCTCTCCAAGGTCTCGTGGCCTCATCACCCGAACTGCTGCCCGGATCTCCGCTTTCAGCCCCTTCATAAAGTTTCCTTCTAACACTGTCTCTGAGAGCCGATCTAGTCTGCTGGCCAAATACTCGAACCGGTCACGATACTCTGCCACTGTCCCTTCCTGTGTCAAGGCAAAAAACTGCTCATAGAAGTCTCCTCCCCTGCTGGTTCGGAAGCGTTCTAGTAGACAATCCTTGAACTCCCTCCAGGTGCGAATGGGTCGCCTCATGTCCCGCCATTGATACCATGCCAGAGCCTTCCCTTCTAAGCACAAGCCTGCAGCTGTCAACTTCTCCTCCTCATTCAACCCATTGACTGTAAAGTATCTCTCCACCTTGTAGATCCAGCCATGTGCGTCTTCGCCCTCAAAGATGGGCATCTTCAATTTCCTCACTCTCGGGTCACCACCGTGTCCCCTAACTCCTCCATAACCTCCCATTCCTCTAGGAGGAGGTGCTCCCCAGTAGTCACGATCTTCCCTCCTACGATCATACCCGATCCCTTCATCACATTCCCCTCTTCTTCTTTCCAAATCAGCACCACGGCGGTAAGCATCGTCCCTTCTCCCAAAAAATTCTGCACCCCTCCTTTCATAGCCCATACTAATCTCCTCTCTAGAAAGCGGTTCTAGAGGAGGTATTCCATCATCTCCCTCGAGGATCTCCACTTCCGGGTTCTCCCTCCCCCTTAATGGGTTCGGAATTCCTCCTCTTGAATGGCCGCCTGTGGCCTCCCTTGTTTCCGATGTCGCCGGATTTTGTTTGTCTTCAAGCATCTTCTTCATCATATTCTCCAAAGCAGTGAACCTCCCATCCATCTTTTCATGAATGGAAGCGAATTGGTTGTGAAAATCAATGGTTCTTTCCTCCAAATCAGCCTTCAGTTGGCCTATTTCTCCCTCCAGTGCATCAACCTTCTTTCCGGCCATCTTCCCTCCAAGGTTTTACAAGTAGAACTTCTTGAGGAGGAAAGAAAAATTGCTGAAATTTTCAGATTTCAGCCTCCAAAAGTCCCAAGACAACGCTCTGATACCAATTTGATAGGAAATACTTGAGTTCGCAAGTAACCCTAAGGTAATACTTGAGTTCGCAAGCAAACCTAACCAAAATCAGCACAAACGAAGAGGAAACTGCTGTTTTGTAGCAGAAAACAGCAGTTTTTTCAGTAGAAAACAGCAACTTACAGCGAATCAGTGGTAGAAATCTCAAGCAAAACAAGATCTTTCATTAAAGGATTCAAGAAAACAATAAAAGATACACGTTCCTTCGATTCGAGAGGAAGAAACAACTCTCCAAAACTCTAGCAAACCTTAGAGCCCAAGAAAAAGAAACCCTAGATCTCCAATCTCATTCAAATTCAAGATAGTCCAAATCCCTCCAAAACTCCTCCATTAAAAGAAAGGACTCAAGCAAATTTCCTAAACAGCCCTTCCCTCAAATAATTTCCCCCCAAACAGTGCATTTAACCCACGGTGGGCTCCCCATGGCTTCCGCCCTCCCTGCTAGCTCCGCCTGGAGCTCCCCGCTTCCTCACGTAGAACCGGACCGGTCTGGTCTGGACCGGTCCAGCCAGGCCCGGCGTAACAATTACCCACTAAGTTTACTTTGTAAATTCAACCTATACAGCTAAACTTTTAGGTAAGTCTCAAGAGAAATAGAAATAACTGAAAGAGAAGATGAATATGTTTACAAAAGAAGGCGTACAAATGCAAGAAGGTAAATTATGATTTATGCAAATGTTAAGTATTTGTGAAAATTTTGATTAGTGGCTCTTCAAAGTTTGTGAAATGTTAGAATTTATTGTTATAAGTAAGACTAGTAATTGTCTTAACCGTCCAATTGTCAGTTCCCGCCTCGTTAGTTCGAGTATCCGGGTTGGGTCGTGACAAAGCAAGCTAAAATCTATTGGATGAGCTTGGAGAGATAAATGGAAAGTTTCAAAAGAGAACTTATAATCATCTTAGTTGAAATGATAAAAATTTTAAAAGAGAAATGCTTACCTTATAATCTTAAGATCATCATTGCCATGTTTACCATATTATAAAAAGATACAATGGAATATATTTCACTTAAAAAGATAGGTTTATAAACTAGTAAAACTCAGATTAATTATTTTCTTAAAATAAAAGATCATTTAAATTGCAAATATGATAAAATTATTCCAAGTGAAAGTTTACATACCTAGCACCACTTATTAGTTTTGAACTTTACGATAAAGTGGTGGAATATGAAAAATAAAATAAAATATTGTCCTATAATTAGATGGGGGCATTTAAAAAATACTGAGAAAAATATTTGTTAGAATAAGATTCAAAATCTTAAGACCTTGACTATATATGAGGAAGATAATGTTATGTGGGAAAAAATTAGCTAATGATATTAAAAATATTGCAAAGGATGTGCTTGAAGTATAAAAAAACTCCTAATAGTAAAATAGTTGGCGATGAAATCAAAATGTGCAAAAAAAAGATAAAAAACTAGGAAAGAGTTATTGAGTATAGGTTACGATTTGACACTAATGTTTCTCAAAATCATTCGGATTCATGTCGGGTAGGTCTACTATGAAAGATGTACATTTATTGAAAGATTTGATCGAGAGGTATAGAGAAAATAAGGAAGATCTACATATGATATTTATTGATCTAAAGAAAGCTTATGATAAAGTTCCAAGAGAGTGTTATAGAGAGTTAAATAGGAGTTAATAATGCTTATACTCAAGTCATTAAGGACATGTATGTAGGAGTTGTTACTTGTGTTTAAACACAAGGTTGTTTGACCAAGGTGATAAAACAAGAGAGGGAGTTGAAGGTAAACTTGAATTATTGAGGTCAATCTTAGAGTCTAAAGGTTTTCATTTGAGTAGAACTAAGACCGAATACATGGAGTGAAATTTTAGTAATAGATCTAGTGAGAGGATTGTGGTCTTGGGTGATCAAATCATTAATAAGAGAACATGTTTTAGATATATTGGGTCTATTATTCAGAGTGATGGTGAAAAAGATCGGGATATTATTAGTAGAATTCAAGTTGGATGGTTAAAGTTGAGGAATGCATCGAGCCTGTTGTGTGATAGAAAAGTAACCCTCAAACTTAAGGGAAAAATCGATAAGAAGGTGGTGAGATATGTAATGCTTTATGGTCCAGAATGTTAGCATTCAAAGAGAAGCATTAAATTAAATGTCACAGAGCTGAGGATGCTCAAGTGGATGTGTGGCTTTACTCTTAGAGGCAGAATGCAAAATAAGCACATACGTGAAAAGGTTGGAGTAGCTCCAGTGGCATATTAAGATTAGAGAGAGTTGTCTTAAATAGTTTGGTCACATACAACATTGGCCTTCCAATGGCCCGCGCGATTAGGAGAGTAGATGAATAAAATTTGGCTAATGTTAAGAAAAGTAGAGGTTGACCTAAAAATACTTAAAAGATATTATAAATGACATTTTTTATTAATTTTAAATGAGAATTTGACTCTTAACATTATACAATGGAGAAAAATGATTCAAGTAGTCGACCTATGTAGCGGGATAAATGCTTGATTTTGTTGTTGTTGTATGGATTTATTAGGAAACAATGGGTTATAATATTTTCCATAAATGATTTGAGAATAGGAAAGTTGACATGTGAAATGTTGCATTTAAAATCAAAGATGAATTATATGAATGGTTAGTGGTGTCATTTGAATTAATCAACGCACCCAACATTTTCACAAAAATAATGGACCATGCCTTCCTATCTTACATTAGGAATTCTCTTTTAATCTAGTTTGATGATATTTTAACTTATAGCAAGAGAAGAAAATATTATTTGGAGGGCATCAGAAAAGCATTTGAAGTTTTACAAATTAAAAAATTATAAATTTGAATAAAGGTTTGCTTTGTGACTCTAGTGATCTTCCTAGCTTTTGTTTAATCTAGGTATTATCTATAAATTTTGATAAAATCTAAAGAACTAATATTCATGGAATTAAGTGTTTTGAAATCTTCGCTATCTTTTATAGAATTTTAATTTATTTAATGATTAAATACTATCATCACTCCAATTACAAATTGTCTAAAAAAACTCAAATGGATTGAAAATATTGATAACATTTTTATTGAAATTAAAGAGAGACTTAACAATACATACATGCTTCAGTTGATTTATTTCAATAAAGTGTTCGAAGTTTATTATGATGAGTTTAGCATAACTACCAGAGCATTTAATTAAGAAAGCATGATATTGCATTCTTTAGTAAGAAATTGAATGAGCTTAAATAGATATTTCAAAGAAAGATAATAAATTATATATTATTGACGTTTAGCATTGGACGAAATTGGAAAGATCATCCTCCGGTTAATCCAGTCAAAATGCAGTTTGTTGTTTCTGTTTGACGACTATCCGCTAATTCATCTAGAACAATTGGAATCGGCCTCTTAAATAAAAAAATTCTTACCCAAAGTTAATATCTTTATCTAGTTAATATTTTTTGTTTAAAAAAAAATTGCATACATTTGGTTAAGTTATTGATAGAGTTCTGAACATGCTAATTCAAATTCTATATTAAAAAAAAAAACATCTGCAGAACTTTTAATAGGACGACATTAACATTCACCCAAAGGGTCCCCTTTCACAAGCAAGAAAAAATGTTTAGGACAAAATAATTCTGTTTACAGCAAACTAGGCCATGACAGAAATTTCATTCAGCTTAACCTCAAGAAGAAAGGACTACCTGCTGAAGAAGGTCAGCCTCACAAGAATAAGGTGACCACTGCACAATAATATCCACATTTTTATTCCAATCAATTGCTGATGAAGACATCATTTTTTCCCAACATTGCCCCCTCTTCTCATAATCAAGCTGCAGAACAAGCTTAAGGGTCAGAATGATGATAACTGAACAATAACCAAAGAAATCAGATTTGGGCATGTAATCTAGATAATTAAGTAAATACTCCATGACTGATCCAGATTCAATAACACAAGAACTAACTAGTTCAAATATCACACCCACAATCTATCAAGCTCCAGAAGCATGTCCAATTTGTCTGTTATAAACTTGCCCCAAGTCACTCAAGAATGGTGATTGTCCAGGCAAAGCTAATTGAGCGCTACGAAGCTGATTCATCATGCCAACTAAAGTTAACCAACTACACAAGACAAGCCGAACAACCCAAAATTTTATCCAACTAACATATTGTTTTATACTTTTATTCCACAGAACTTTCTAGGTGGTCAAGCAGTATGAAAACTTTCACACGTAGTGCAGAAGGGCTAATTAGTACACAACTAGATGAGGCTCTCCTTACAGAGGTTTCAGGTAAAGGTTTCATATTCCTAGCTTTAATACTACCGCATAAGGAAGAGAATATAGGCAGACTAGATGATTTTTTATCACAAAAGGCAAAAGTGCCAAACTAACTTTTAAATCAAAGTTCACTCTAGAATGAATATAGAAAAGTAAATATAACCGTAAACATCCTAGATGATTTTTTATGCTTTTTATAAGCTTTCATGCAGATTAGACGTTCAAGAAAGGTGTATGGAATAAACTAACAGTCGTGAGAAGGCCCAGCAAACTTCCAAATGAAATTAAAGAGCATATATTCAAAAATCCCTCAACAAGGAAAGACTGGCAAAACGCATTAATCAAAGCTCACTAGTGTGTAAGCTATTATGAGGACTGAACCATCAAGAAAGTTCAATGGAATAAACCAACAGCAGCAACAAAAGCCAGCTACTTCCAATAAACGAAATAACTTAAATTCAGAAAGTCCTTCAAAAGGAAATCCTAGCATAATATATTAAATCAAAACTCATTATAGAATGGAATAAAAAGAAAGTATGGTTAAAAAATCTTTGACGGCATTTTGGATGTTAATAATTAATATGCAATCTCTAGCTAGAAAAAAAGCATATCATTTCAAAGATGAGAAACTTCATTCAGATAACAGTATATATGTTTCCTTTAGAAATTTATCGCTAATTAAACAGTCAATTACGAAAAAAAGAAATTAGCATACCATGGGAACTACAATGTCTTCTTTACCAGTGTCCCTCAGGAATGTGTAGGACAACATCCCAATGCTTCTTGTAGGGCTGAAAGGTAAGCTTCAATAATATAAGTGGTCAACATAAAAAAAGGTGAAACATAAAGTGAAAATTTTCAAAACCACCAAACGAGTTGGATAATTGCTGATTAACTAATTAAAACTGCAAATGAGAATTCAACTGCAATAAAATGTACTTACAAGGAAATCACCTAGGCATACTTCAAGAAAAATATGGGTACATAGTAAAAGGCAATCTTAAAACAAGCTGGCCATGCTGGCTGGTCTGAAATACATTTGACATGCATGGTCACTCCTTACAATGTAATGTTAAAGTCTGCTAACAAATAGGCAACAAAGCAGAAATGTCTTATAGCTAGGAAGCCAATTGAGAAAATACGCCCATTTCACTGTCCGAATTATATATAATTTATTAAATTGAATTGATGCTGGACGCATCAAAATTTTGGTTTCATATGCAAATGCATGCTAAATGTAGTGTACTGAATATAGATAAATAAAATGAAATATATAGGTTTTCTTTTTTGTGAAGTAGTGACATGGATGAATTGGCAAAGTAAAATTCAGATGTAAGCAAATTAACTAGAATTAATAAATTTAAACAACAAGTGATGAAAATGAGATTAAAGCATCTTGAAGTCTAGATTTTATAAGGCACAAATTTACACACAAACTCAAAATTTGTAATCACAAACCATCACAAGTCAATGGAAATTCACATTGTAACGCAGAAACCAAATTGTACCAAATGGAATAAAATAATTAAAGCCCTATTTGGCATCATTTTAATTCTGTTTCTTGTTTTTTATTTTTTAAAATTTGGATAAAACATTTTGGAGTGTTTTTGTTTGCTTTTTTTTCTAAAAAATCAAGTTTTCTTTAAACACGCTCAAAACTACTTTTAGGTGTTTCATTGTTTTCATAACATGAATTGATAAAGATAGAGATAGGAGGATCATTTTTATTAACAAAAAAAACTTAATATTCCCTTTTACCTTTTTTTATCAGGGATAGTTTAATTGTTAGGCTCTTTCCTATAAATACCTAAGTCTTATGTGGGGGAGGGGGAGCTTTTGGAGTTAGTTCATTTCATTTTCAGATTCAGAAATCTGAGAAGGGAAATGTCTCTTTTCCTTGGGGTGGATTTCCCCTAAATTTGGGCAAATTATTGCATCTGGTCATCGGACGCGCAGAATAGGTTCGGACATCCAATAAAAACATGCCACATCACCTGCGCTTTAGGTGCGCTTTGACTACGCTTTAGGTGCGCTTTTCCTGCGCTTAATTTAAAACAATATTTTATTAATATCCGGACCTATCTCCGCATCCGGTGACCGGATGCAATAATTTGCCCTAAACTTAAGAAAAGAGGTAGGGTTTGTAGTGGAGTCTAAGACTTCACCAACATTATTCTCCCACCTTTTCTTTGCTCTCCTTCAGTATTCTTTTTCATCATTCCATAAGCACCGCCTTTTTAATCATGGAAATCTAGGATATGGGCTAATTTCCTACAGATAACTTCACAAGAATTGTATTGACTCTTCGTTATCAAGGGCTGAATAGTCTCAGCTGTACCAAGTCTTCAAGAACTCCAGAAGAACCTCCAGATTTTCAGTTCGGTCCTAAACCAGTAATTCCTGGTCTTCCAAATCATCCTAACAGTAGCCTAGCTTGCTGTTAATGACCCAGCCGCCGATAACAGCCTCTAGAATTTGCTGCTGGGATTGTTCTTCTCCGCCCATCAGGTCTTGTATTCTTTCTGTGATCATTTGTTAATTTTTTCTTAGTTACAAAAGCGGTCCACTGGTTTGCTTGGTAAAATTCTGCAGGACTTGTACAAAAAGTTCAAGAATGTGTTAGATTGATCAAAGACAAGATAATTAAAGTGCAAGAAGTCCGATTCAGGAAAGAGGGCGGTCCAGCAAGTGTAACCAGTCCAACCCCTCACGTGCGGGTGCAAACATAGAAGAAAAGGTGTTGGACAAGTTATCAAAAGCCCCAACCCTCAACCTCTTTGTCCATGAACTAGTGAAGCTGCCTTCCGTCAACTAGAAGGGAACAAGAACAGGCCAAAATCAAATTCGTTAAATTCGTTAGGCAATTTCCACATATGCATCAATAAATTAGTTTCAGCTATTGTAATTCTATATTTTATTTGTCATTTACTGTTTGTTTCCTTTCTTTCAAGATTGGAATAATCATTTGAACACCTAAAATTGGTGAGTTGAGGAACTAATTTAAACACCTAAAAAATTATGAAACTAAAATGAACTCATCTAAAAAGGGAGGACTAAAATGTACCCAACAATTTGTGGGGGGCATTCTAATCCCAAAGAATATAAAAAATCCATTGTCCCCGGACTCCTTAAATAAGAGCCAAATAATCTCACCGTCAAAAATAATGAAAACTAAAGTTAAACTTATCGGATTGTGTTAAAACTGAGGATATTTTAAAAATATAAATCTTCTTGAAATTTTTACAGAATTTAATTTTTTATTTCCATAAATACGCTGATTGTATAGCAACTGACCACATCAGTGGATTAAGATCGTATAGGTTGCGAAGCAAGAATGCAAGATAAATTTTATAATAAACAATTTTATTTGACATTTTTTATCTTAATACCACTATAACGAAATAAATTGGATTTGATTTTTTTGTTATAGAATATTTATATTAAATTTTTATAATGATTTTATTGAAATATATTTTTAAGAAAAATTAAAATATGTATTTCAATTGTTAAAAATAAACTCCACTTTTCAGTATTAGTAGATTATATTATATTTTATTTAAATTTTAAGAGAATATGAATTTCCTAAATATTCTCTTTTAGTATTATCCATTAACTTAAACTTCAATTTTCGTTACTTTTGACGGTGAGACAATTTTGCCTCTTATTGAATGAGTTCAGAAGCTAATTTGGACCTTTTATATAGTTTGGGATTAAATGACCCCCAAGAACAGCCAAGGGAGCATTTTTGTCTATTTTACTATCTAAGAAAGTATATAAACCATTTTGGATATTTACTCGTTCCCAAAATGATATTCACCATGAGCTGCCAACAAAAAAGAGAGCCCTGAATGGTTTTACAATGACAACCACGAAACTTTCATATCCTGTTTTACAATAACAACCAAGAAACTTTCATATCCTGAATGTACATAAACTAAACGTCCATAATTGTAATATCCACACAAAAAAAATCAAATAGTTTCGTTGAAAAGCCATGAACACATGAAATAAATCATAAATAAATTTGATAGAAAACTTATTAATGAGCACGCACTCATTGCCAAACAATAAAGATAGCGCACAAAGCACAGGGTAGATTGCTAACCTTTTTCCTTCACCACGACAGACAGAGAAAACGATGGCATCTGCACCAAGTCTCATGGTGCTCGTCTTAAATCCGTTTCCATCTAGAGAAGATAATAAAAATAAATTTCAACAGGAAAATATTAAAAGTCAGTTATTGCAAAAAAAATAAAAGTGATTTATGTGTAAATTCATCAATATCTTAGAGACGAGAAAAGTAAGTTGGATAAAAACAGCTCTTGCTTATAATAGTTACTTACATTGTCCGATGCAATTTGCTATTTTGCTCTTTTTGGAATAACCAAGAGACATACACTGCCGCATTTTATCCGGATTCATACCACCGCCATCATCTGTAGAAGCAAAGTCAAGAAAGCATATTAACATGAAAAATGAAAGCAAGCTTCGAAATTTTAATACAAAAATTACAAAAGAGATATAAGCAAAGTCAATAAAGCATAATAACATGAAAAATGAAAGCAAGCTTCAAAATTTTAATACAAAAATTACAAAAGAGATATAAATTTGAGTTTTCAACCGAATAAATAACAATCCGAATTGTAATTTGTACTTTCTCTATGTACAATTATTTTCTTTTCTCCTTTGTATCAGACTGCCTAGATGGGGTTAGGTAAACCCCTACACGTTAATTTTACAAGGAAATCCACAATAAAGTCCAATTTATGACCTAAACTTATCATGTTTATCTCAATATAAAAAATTCCAATTGAGTCATTAATAAGAGTACATGTTTACATATCTTGAGTCTATTGTTCAGAGTGATGGTGAAATAGATGGGATATTATTAGTAGAATTCAAATTGGATGGTTGAAGTGGAGGAATGCATTGGGCTTGTTGTGTTCTAGTAAAGTTCCCCTCAAACTACAGGGAAAATTCTATAAGATGATGGTGAGCCCTGCAATGCTTTATGGTGCATAATGTTGGCCATTAAAAGAGAAGCATAATATTAAGTTAAGTGTTGCAGAGATGAGGATGCTCAGGTGGATGAGCGGCTTTACTTTTAGAGATAAGCATAAAAGTGAAAAGGTTGGAATAGGTCCAGTGGAAGATAAGATTAAAAAGAATCGCCTTAGATGGTTTGGTCACATAAAACGGCGGTTCCGATGACCTGCTTAGGAGAGAAGATGTATTAGATTTGGCTTATTTTAAGAAAGGTAGAGGTAGACCTAAAAAGACATGGTTAAAAAATATTAGAAATAACCATTCTTCATGAGATTGAAATGAGAATTTGACTTTTAATAGGACACAATGGAGAAAATGAATTCATGTAGCCAACCTCATATGGTGGGATAAAGGCTTGACATTATTATTTGTTGTTGTTGTTGATTTTTTTTTTCTACCAATCTATCAGCCTGCACCTTCAATTCATAATAAAAAAATGCAACTATAGTGATAATACAACATATTGCATAGGCAAAACATTTCAACGCTCCAAAAGACTTAATGTTAGATATGTGTTTTCATCATCTACAATGAATAAGGTAGTCATATAAATTGAAATCGTATGAGAATTACAACAAATAAAAACATAGAAGAACGAATCTGAAGGGAGATTCATAAAGCTAAACCAAAAGCAAGAAAACAAACTAGGAAAAATAAGTTTCATTACTAAACAAGAAAACAGACTAGGAAAAACCAAGACAAACAAACTAGGAACAATAAATTTCATTACAAATATTTCATTCAAAGGCATAAAGAAAACAAGCAAAAGACAAACAAAACCTGTATAAGTATAACAAAACAAAACAAAATAAAGAAAGCATTCGCACCTTCAATAAGTAACATTTTTGTTCCATCTTTCTTATTCGTTAGCATGTCTATGCTCACAAAGGTAGCTCCATTGCAAACCTAAAAAGAAAGAAAACCATGTATAGTACAGACAAGGAATCTAACAATATTACAAAGAATTATTTTTCAGGTAATGAAAGAAATACCTCATCAAGCGAATTGTCCAACAACTCTGCAAAGGCTACGAAGTAGAAAAGAAAAGCAACACTCAGGAAAACCATAAAAAGGACAAATAGACATCATAAAACTTCACAATCAATATAATATAAGAGCAAAGAATGATGCATATTTATTTAATATACAACAGTAAATGTACAACATAATAAAAGTCCATAAATGACACCATATTTCAGGTTGAAAGAAGAGTACCTCCAAGTGCCCACTTGTGGCTTGTAGCATTTGAATGCAGAAACCTAGGGTGCACTCTGACATGGTCCATGCCCACTAAAGAAATAAATTAATCTTGTAAGCTCGGAATAATGGAAGTTACACCAAAACAGATTAAAAGAAACACCAGCTGCAACATAGGGCAACAAACAATAACTTTGAATTGAATATTATAATTAACTTGTCTCTCATACTTCTTATAACATAGTTCCAGGAGATGACTTTGAATACTTATAAAAATCCTTTCTACAAAAACTTAAAGAGATTCAAATAAACAAAAACAAGCACCGCCCAACATGAAAGCATCACAGACAAAATAAAAAAAAAAGCAAAGATTCATAAGAAGGCGACATTTGTCAATTAACCAAGGTTCATCGTCAATAAAGATGAACTATTCAAATTAAAGCAAATTCATGAAAGAGCCCGAACCCGTGAATTTCCAATATAATGAATCCAAATTCAAGCAAGACTTCAATAGGAAATTTCTGTTTAAAGAAACTACAAGCATACTCTTAGCTTACAGAAATTTCTGTAGCAAGCAAACATGATCAGTGTTAAATCTCTCCACTTGAAGCTAGAAAGGCAACAACAAAAATAAATAGGCATAATGGAGAAAAGAACTGTTAACTTTTCTTTGCGTTGACTTTTAAATTGTTACATACCAAGGTATAGTAATTTGAAGGTGAATGATAGGAAACACTTGTAGATCTCAAGTATTTCCTATTAATATTCAGTAAACAGCAAGAATTCTCCACAAAAATCCACACAAAGCCATGAAAACATTATATAATTTGTATTATTTGATGAAATAGAAACAAAAAATAGCAAGATACAGTTGATCCTCTATTCTAGAGGAGGATTTATCTCTCACAAATCTCTAGATGCCGCTAGAGCCCAAAAGAACCTAAGAGATCTCAAATTTCAGCCAAAATAGATATTCAGTCAAAATCACTGAACTGCTGAATCAACGGCTGTACTGAAAGAGGAATGTCCCCGCCCTCCTCCAATATGATCCCCTCCAGCCTATGTAGTTCCATCAAATAACATTCCCCACCTCTTGTATGCTCCTCACCTTGATTTTAAGTGATATCATGGCTTTGGTGAGCCCTGCATCTCCCCTGATCACTATTCTTCTCCCTTCCACCATCAGCTCCATCGTCAATGCTCCACAGTTGACATTGGTGTCCCCCAAAATCTACAGCCACTTCATCCCCAAGATGACATCAGTGCTTCCTAACTCCAATGGGAGAAAATCCTCCCTCACTTGAACCTCCTGTAGGATCAACACTACCCCCCTACATATCCCCTGACCTCTGGTTAATAACTCAATTTCCTTGTCATATCCCTACACTTGTGCCCTGTTGTATACTTCTCATCACATATGAAGCATAGTCCATTCACCCTCTTCTCTTGTATCTCCCTCTGCATCAGTTTTTTTAAGTTCCCCCCACTTCCTCCTTCTGCTAGATTCTCCCTGGGAGTTTCATTAATGTTTCCTGATGCAAGCCTCTTGGGTGCTAAAAGAATGGTCGTCGTCCTCTAAAACCCCCCTGAATTGCTGCTCTTGGCTCCCCTCTCATGATACCTCTGATTTTCCATCAGTTGTGCCAACTCCATGGCCTCTCCCAAATCACGAGGCCTCGTGACCTTCACTACAGCTCTGATCTATGGTTTGAGCCCCTTTAGGAAGTTCCCCTCCAATGTCGTCTCTGAAAATCGCTCCACTCAACTGGCTAGATGTTCAAACATCTCTCGGTAGTTTGTCACTGATTCATCCTGCACTAGTGCAAAGAATTACTCATAGAAGTCTCATCCCCTGTCGGTTTGGAAACGTTCTATTAAATAATCCTTGAACTCTCTCCAGTTCCGTAGGGGTCTCCTTTGGTCCCTCCACTAGTACCATGAAAGCACCATCCCCTCCAAAACATAAGTCTGTTATTGTCAACTTCTCCTCCGTCAACCCATTGATGGCGAAGTGCCTCTCCATCTTATAGATCCACCCATGTGTGTCCTCCCCTTCGAAAATGGGCATCTTCAACTTCCTCACCTTCTGATCTCCCCCGTTTCTCCTTATTCCTCCATAGTTTTCACTTTCCCAAGTGTTTGCCCCAAGTCTCCTGATTTTCCCATGCCTTTCATATACCCAAAACCTCCTTCGAATTCCCCTCTCCTTCCTTCAAAATCAGCACCTCAGTGATCATAATATCCCTCCTGTGTTCCCATTCAGTACCCCTTTGCTCATGCCCCCATACCCATACCTTTCCCCATACCTTCTACCTTGTTCCTCCATGAATTCCACTTCATAGTGTCTCCTACGACAATCAAAATTTGTCGTTTCCCCCGTCGGTTCTTTCGCCTCCGATGCCGTCGTTTGGATTTGATTCTCCAATAACTTCTTCATCGTCACATGGAGATCAGAAACCTCGTCTTCCACGGATTATATTCGATCTTCCATCATAACTTTTATTTGGCTCATCTCTCCTTCCAAGCATTCCTCCAACGCGTCTAACTTCTTGGCTGCCATCAAAAATTCCGATTTTTGCTCCAAAAATTAGCAAGGGTTCCTTTCTCAAGATGAAATTTCGTCGCTGAAATTTCAAAAAACCAGCCCCCAATGGTCCCAAGACTTGCTATGTTACCAATTTGATAGGAAATACTTGTAGATCTCAAGTATTTCCTATCAATATTAAGTAAACAACGAGAATTCTCTACAAAAATTCACACAAAACCACGAAAACAGTAGATAATTTGTATTATTTGATGAAATAGAAATGGAAAATAGCAAGATATAGTTGATCCTCTATTCGAGAGGATGATCCATCTCTCCCAAATCTCTAGGCGTCGCTAGAGCCAAAAAGAACCTAAGAGATCTCAAATTTCAGCCAAAATCAAGATGCCCTAACCCTAGGAAAACAAACTATTTAATGCATACAATTCAAAAGGAAAGTTTTAAACAATCCCTACATTCAATTTCCCTCCTAAACTTTCTCAAAAAACCTTCCAAAACAGCTCAGTTGGCTCCTGCATTCGGATCGACGCGTACATGGAAGCGGAAGAGTTCCACCTCTATCTGCCCGGGACCGGTTGGACCAGTCTAACAGTGATAAACGTATGATATGTTAAAAGCTAGCTGTCAAAGTAGAGGTGTCCTTTGCTGCGTTCAAGGACCTTAGTTAAAATTGAATATATTCCCTTAGCTTTACCATCTAAAATTGAATACTACTCATTATGTTAGCATGTAAAGAAACAACAAATCCATTGATACTGTGACATTGAAGCGCAAAGAGAAACCTATCACAAAACACCAAAACACACACAAAATACAGAAGTAGAAGCATCACTGATGCTAATTTTCTGATGCTCCCAAACATGGTAGATGAAGCAAGAAACCAGAAAATTTACAGATAGAAACAGAATGATGCACATCTAAAGTTTGTATTCACATGAAATATGATTCATGTGTATTGATTCTAATTTTTATTCCAAGTTCATTTTAAGAATAAAAAAAAAGCCTGCGATGATAGGTCTGATATGAACACGATGCACTCTCAAGATTTTTAGTATTTTGTTAGGATCAGCCGATTGTTGCAAGATTACAACCCAGCCCATTGAATTCCAAATCAACACATCTAAAGTTCAGTTTCCTTTCAACAATTGATGTGAAGAGAAGAGTTGGAAGCTTACCTTTTGCTAGACTATTGCATCATGTTTCCTATTATTAGTTTCCCTACCATACTACCTGCTTGTTCCCTTCACACTCCATTGATTCATGATTCATCAACTCTTGCTACTCACCTCCTCTACTTCCCTCTTCACTATTTTCTGCTAACCATGCCTGCCATATTCCTTCCACTCCACTAATTCCATCTATTTTTTATGCTTATTAGATACCTCAATGGAGCCAAAGATTTAGGTTTAAAGTTTACAAAATCAGAATTGAATGAAAATGTCCTTTTTGGATATGTTCATTAAGATTTTGCAAGATGTAATGACAATAGAAGATTTCTCACCAGTTACATATTCAAGATATATGAGAATACTGTGAGTTGGAATGCAAGCTACAACTTGTTGTGGCCTTATCTACTACTAAAGCCGAGTACATGGCTGCAACCGATGCAGCGAAGGAGGCTATTTGGCTCAAAGGCTTGTGACAGAGTTGGTCCAACCTATTTCCAAACCGGAGAAGATTCTTTGTGACAATCAAAGTATAGTGTTCTTATCTAAGAACCTCAAGTTTCGTGAAAGAACTAAACACATAGACATCAAGTTTCACTTTCTCAATAAAATTGTGTCAAATAATGTGGTGGAGATTGTGAAGGTATCTACAAAAGATAATGCATTTGATGAACTGACCAAAGCTCTTCCAAATACTAGGTTTCAACATTGGTTAAACTTGTTAAGGATGGTAAGGAAGAAATCCTAGCATTGGATGTTTATCACATTTCAAATCAAGAGCCAAGGTGGGGATTGTTAAATGTTGGTTCTTACTTGGCATATTAATTATGTTTTTAATTTAAGACTTTATTTTTAGAATATTTTACTTTTTGCCCCATTGGGTTGTTTAGCATAAACAGGAGTGACTTGTATTGCTTTAAAAAGATTGATGGATGAAAAATAGAATCGGTTTTGTTCTCTTCTAAAACCATGAGCTCTCCTCTCTCCTATCCCTCAATTTTTTTTTTCTCTCTCTCTCTCAATGGAAGCAGCCAGAGAGATGTTTGCTCTTGATCCAAGCAAGGAAGCAAGAAGGTTGAGGTGGAGGTGCAACTGCCAAGGGGGACCGGCGGTGAAGGAGGAAGGTGCTATTACTGGACAAGGAGGAAAGGAATTGGTGGTGGATTCAATTCAAAACAGCAAGATAGGAATTCAAGATATCTTCCTTCAAGGTTTTCAACATTTAAGAATGTATAAATCATTTCTAGTAGAAGTTAAGCCATGTGTATTAGCTTACTTTGAAAAGGTTGTTCGACAAAATAAAATTTACATTTGTGTAGCAAGCATGTTTTCAAGAGAATTTATCATATATCCATATTAGAATATGTTGTAAATGATTATTGGTATCCCTTAGGACGATTGGTAGCATTCTAATATTGTCAATTTGTCATTATTGATTTTATATCAGTTGCATAATACAATTTGTCTAATTTGCATGAGAAATTTGCACACAACTAATTATTTATTATGACAATTATAAGCCTTCTATGCATATGAAAGAGGCAATTGAAATTCAAAATGGATGACAAGATAAGGGTATGTCTAAATCCCATAAGGCCCCCTACATGAACTTTAAGAAACTAATTGCAAAAAAGACATGGTCATATAAAACCTATACAATGCATTGGGATAAATACTTGTGAACTGAAAATCCTAGGAAATTCTGAAAGTGCTCCAAACTTCAACATATCAAATTTGATTTTATTTTATGAATATACTGTAAACAAGAACTTAGGCCCAGATTTAAATTCAATTTAAGTATAAACCTACACTTCCATTAGCAACTAAACTTGAAATTGAAACTAATCTTATATGCCAGAACAAAAGCCAGAATTTGAGCCTAAAACGGAACTAAAAAATGAGATTAACCAAAATCTAAATCAAAATTAGGGGGCTACATTGGCAATTGAAATTGAATATGCATTTGAATTTGAATCTCAATTGTAATTAGAACTTAAATATAATCATGAGTGTGAACATGAACATCTCAACAAAATTTCTAAATATGATGTTGACGCCATTTCTTGGATGTACTTTTGACACCAAATCCTCTATACCCTGCATCTTTCAGACTCATGCACGCGGCCATTCTAACATTGCCATGACTCAGTAAAGACCTCCTAGGATTTATGATGCAGTGCATCATAGTTATCGTATACCCATAGTTATCGTATACCCATAGTTATTTTAGTCCTGAATTTCTGTTACGTTGTGTTAGTCTCCACTACCTTAGTTTCTATTTTTGGCAATATAGTACAAGACCAACTTTTTCTGTTAGCGTTATTTTCAGCAAGAGAAAGGACCTCTTGATAGTAGCTATTTTGTATATCTTCTTCTGAGGCGGAAGAGAAAACAGATTATCAAATTATACTATGGAGTAAAATATCTTTAGCTATTATTGTTCCCTGTTTTCAACTACTTTCTTCCATAGCATACCACATCAATTTGAAGTCGTTAGGCTGATGCTCTAACATTGACTCAACCCTTTCTCTAGGTTTGGTAGTGGGGGTTAATGAATTCTATTACTGGCCATTATCGTAATATCTTTTCTTGTTACGGGCCTTCATTGTAGTCAAATCAATCATCCTCTTGAATGTTACTAGGGAAAATTCTAAAATTCTATTACCTCCATTGCTCCGAATGTTTCCACAACCCTAAATTCTTGGGCATGAGATGCAAGATCTAGCAATCAAGGCATGATGGAAGCCAGGATAAGATTCTTCTAATACCATGTTGAAGAAAAAATATTTTGTGTGTGGAATTCCTCAGCAATTCCCTAATTATAATAGGGGAATGAGTACAATAATTTATGATATGCCCCAAATAAGTATAGACAACTCTACAAATAAATAGGGCTTTTTATTACGGCATTTTGCCAAGTTTAGGGCATCTCCAATTGAAAACCCATTTTCTACTCCAAAATGTAGTAAAACTTCAAAATGCAGTCATTATTCTACAATCGAACATCATTTTTTCTTCTTTCGCGCGCTTCCTGCGAAGTTAACCATCTTTGGCGCGCTTTTTCTCCTCTTTCACGTGCTTCTTCGGCAAATCCCGTAGCAAATTTTTTGACGTAGTTGTAGTTGAACTGTATGACGCCAATATTGTTCACCTACCGGAATTTAGCATGTGATTTGGAGTTCAAATGGAACAGATGGTGGACGACATACGGTGTTATGAAGTTCGGTTGGAGATGATCTTCGCAGCGTAAATATGCTTTCATGATGCCTTTTCTCTGTCATTGCAGGAAACAAAAAACATTTTCTAATTTACTATTTTCTTTACACAACGTTTCCATCGAATTTTGTTAAAAAGAAGAAAAACGAGCCTCCTTTACGTTTTCCCCCATATCATTCAAACCGGACAGACCCATAAACAATTGAACAACGAAAGGAATACACGCACTACTGTTCAATGCCGAAACAAGAAGCATAATCTTAAACAATGAGCAACATCCCAAAACACCAATGCAGCTACTAATAAATTGCCTTTAAGATCAAAAGCAAAAAGGGAAATCAACCTACAGGAAAACTGCGTCGAATCATCAACAACGGGCAGGCTCTCAAAATCCCCCGCCTTCCAGAACTGTCTTGAACCCTGACGGAGCGCCGGTGACTTGGACGCCACCGGCTGAGAAGGAGAAAGCAACGAAGGCCGCATTGACTTCTCCCCCGACGAGGGAAGAGGGTCAAGAAAACCCGGAGGAAGATCAGCCAACATTCTGCCCTCCAATTTACGCTTCTTGGAAGCCCCTACGTCACCATCCGAAGCCCTGGACCTTTTCTCAGTCTCCACCTCAGAATCACTTCCGCTGCTGCTGAGATCTATCACGGCGACATCGCCGGATAAAGGAGGCGGCGCTTTTAGCAGAAGGGGCCGATCGAACCGTTCCAGCGGCTCCGTCTCTATTTTCACTGTTGTCTCCTCCATCATAAAATGACCAGAAGAAAGCTACTTTACGGTAGGCTTCTTTATTACTTTCAGATTCTTATATGAGAATCGTGCGCCTCCTACTCACGGACTGTTTTCCGATTCTTATATGAGAATCGTGCGCCATCTACTCACAGACTGTTCTAACTTGTTGAATCCGCTGGTTTATGCGGATTTCTACCCATTTTCTTTCCTTATATGCAATATTTGAATCGGATTATGCGGATTTCTACTATATGCAATATTTTCAATCTAACTTAATTTCAAAGGGAAAATTAATTTAATATGTCTCATTCTATTTAGATAGGATATGAAATGAGCTTATACGCGAAAAGGTTGGAGTTGCACCAATGGTAGATAAGACTAGATAGAGTCTTCATAGATGATTTGGTCACATTAAACGGAAGCTTTCTGATGACCCGATTAGAAAAGTTGAGATATTAGATTGACTTATGTTAAGAAAGACAAAAGATAGACCTAAAAAGATTTGGTAAGAAAATATTAGAAATAATATATCTTTATTAAATTTAAATGAGAATTTGACTTTTAACATGACATAATGATGAAAAAAGATTCATGCAACCGACCCCACGTAGTGGGACAAAGGCTTGATATTGTTGTTGTTGTTGTATGTCTAGAAGTTATGTTCAGATAAAAACATACATCCTATAATCATATGTTCTTGCATATAAAAGAGGATGAATGTCATTTTCATTTTGACGTTTTTTCGTTATTGTCAACTTATTTTTTTATATTCTCCAAAGTTTATTCGCTCGTGATAAACGGTGGTGGTGAAGTTTGAAATTTTTTCTTTTTATCAACGACAAAAGTATAAAAGATTTTTTTTTTTTAGCTTTTTTCATGTATCATATATTATATTATTTTGATGGCGGTCTACTGCAAAACTAAATAGATTATCAACGAATGTGTGTTGATATTTTTAAAAGATCTTTGCAAATTATAATCGCACCTTCTTTGGCCTGTGATTGAACATGGTTCACAATATCAAAGCCGCCTACATTGTTTGATCTTTATTCGTACAATATTTAAACATCATTTGATTGTGGTCAAGAGGGAAGGATCAGAGATAAACTAATTCTTTGGTTGAAAGACTTAAGGGGACTTCTAATAGCCTGTTGTGAAACTTTATTATAACTGAATATAGGACAATGGCCACTACATCAACACCAAAGTTTTGAACTCCATGAGTGTTCTAATAACTTGTCCAAAGTGAACCTTTGGGTCGCTAGCAGCCAATGATACTTCATATTCTCTTTGGTCATCGTCGCCTAACTAGTCTCCATCTTCCCCCTCCTCTCTAGCAAAAGAGTTACGGGATTACTCAAATTGGGCGCATCAGCACACTCGCCTCAACGACAATCATTTCCTTCTTGCTCATCGTTGAGCTAAATTTCTTATCCTCACCCTCCTCCAATATGCATTTGTGGAGGACAACCCTCATCATCATTTTGAGACTCAAATATGCCCCAAAATCTAATATGAAAGAATTACTTATTTTATCATTTAATTATTTTATCCAAACCATTGATTTTTTTTATTTAATACAATCCAAAGAAAGCATTCATATTTATCTCAAATATTTTGCTATATTCATCATTCCTCAAAGGTCAATTTACATTACCCATGAGTTTAATCAATAAATTAGTATATTTTTTATGCTCCGGGCTATAAGAAAAAGGTACATAAAATATAACTTGAAACCGACTTTTTTCATTTCTATGCTCATGTTAATTACAATACAATAGTTTTGTTATGAATCTATGAATGTTAGATATTGTTTCATATATATGATGTTATTATGATAAATATTTAAATAAGAATGAATTTCTCTTTTATTATAAAAATCACAACTTATTAGCAAACTCAAACTCCTAAATTTAAACTTGAGCTCGAGCTCAATTAATTAATCAAAAAGCTCAAGCAAAAGATGACTCCGACTCAACTCAACTTCTTTACACACATGTATGAGTATGTATATTCACTTCAAGTTATAGAGGACAAATTTAATCAAAACTTTTACAACGAAAAAAAAATAAAACCTAAATCTTTTAAATAGGAACTTAAATAAACTCATAAAAGTATTAATTTAATACATATTTAAAAATTTAATGGACCAAATTAAAATTTTTATACAGTGGGAGATTATTTTAATCTTTCAAAATTGATCGATCTTGGGACGACAAACTCCTCACAAAATGAGAGGATTTTCAATCATCAGCTGATCTTGCACAGAGTAAGGTTCATAAATGGTGTCTGATATCTTCGATGGAGGCCAGTAGCGTAGTATGGACCTTCCGATTATGCTCTTCACTGGAAGGGGACCCCTGTACAATAGAAAGGTAACAATTGAATCTTCAATATAACCTCCAGAACTAATATAGTCTGATACAGATGGAAAAAAATTGCGTAGAATTCTGGACATTATCTTAACTCCCGTCTCATCACAATTAGCTTTAAAAATTATCACAACAGCCTCTGCGCCAAACATATTTGCGCTTTGGCTCCTTCCTAAGTAGAGATTATTCTGTGCGGACATCGAACTCAACTTTACATTCGAATACCAACAAGAATGAGCCACATCAGCGATATCTAGCCGCGGTACTGAGCAGTACCACGATACTGAGCCGTGTCGCTAAGTATCCGGACGGGTTCGGCTTCTGCACAGAATAATTCCCTAACCACGCTCTGTCTGCGATTTCCATTTTTTTATAGTATTCTTTTTTTTTTTAATTTTGCCAATGGAAATTGAGTCAGACATTCTGACCCTACTTTATTCCCATTCTAAATAGTAAATGCCTATATTATAGTAATATATCCCATTTGGTGCCGTTCATGATTCAGCTGTCAATTTTTTTGTTTTGTAAAGTTCTTAATGGAAAGATAAAGAAATCTGTGATGTTTAGAATTTAAATAGAAGCACTTCTTAAGAAAACTAAATATTTTCCCCAACTAAAATTTCCACACTCAAGCAGCAAAATGAGCCCACACAAACATCAATAATCAGTGATAAATCAAGTCTCCAGGTTTATGTTTGAGAACTTACCAGTTGTGGGAGTCAAAACTGTTATTTCGGTTATCTCCGAGCACAAAAACATATCCTTCAGGAACTAGCTGCAAAAATAAGGCCAAACAATAATTACTATGATTTTTGAAGTATAAAACCTGAAACAGAGGTAGTTCAAAGCAATTGGAAAGTCGAAAGCTCAAAAATTTATTCAAAAATAAAATAAAAAAATTATAAGTTTAAATAAGCAACAATAATATCCTTTTTTTGCTTCCAAAACCTCTAGATAATGTACTAACAAGAGTCACTATTCTGCAAAAGCAAGAAAAACAAATATAGGTCTGATTCAAGGAGTGATTTAGGAAATACTCATAGCAAGTCATCATCAGACTTCCTGAACCATATACAACAAAAATCAACAAAAAGGGAAGCTGATAGGAAATACTCGACTTCTCAAGTAATCCAAGAGGAAATACTTGAGTTCGCAAGCAAACCAATCAATAATCGGTGTAAACAGCGAGAAATCTGCTGATTTCAGAGAGAAATCAGCAATATGATGCAGAATTTTCAGGAAATTGGAGAGTAAAACCAAGGAAAATAACTTCTATTCAATCCACGAAGAAGAATAGCTAAACAAGATATAACTTTATTCAATTCGAGAGGAAGAAACAACTCTCCAAATCTCTAGCAAAACCTATAGCCCAAAAGAACCAAACCCTAGATCTCAAAATTCAGCCAATCTCAAGATGAAAGCCAACCCTCTCCAAAAGAGCTAATTAAAGACAAAGGACAAGTACAAATTTCCTAAACAACCCCCTAATTCAAAATTTTCCTCCCAAGCAATTTTAATTAGCATGTGTGCCCCCTAGCATCAGCCGCCCCCTCCCTTTCTCCCTTCCCTGATTCCGCGCAGCACTTGGGCTGCCTCGTGTAGGTTAAAACTGGACCACTAGGGACCAGTTCAACCGGCCCAAGAGGGGCCAGCCCAACAGAAGACCTAGATAGAGTGTAAGGAAGGGAGATCAATTTGAGAGAGAAACCCGTCAAAAAGAGTTTTCAGCCCCAGGAAAGTCAGGGGAGAGGAGAAAAGAAAGAATACAATGGAAGAAAAAGAAGGATTAGCTTTAGCATTAAATTCAAATTATATGCATTTAAGAAGCTTGTATATCCCTATTTATGGAGAAAACAGAAGGCTCTTGCCCTAAAGCCTGATGTCCATCGAGGTGGTAGTGAAATTGGCTCATGTGTATATCTTACATCATCAACACATGCAGTCTTAACATAGAAAAGTAGACATGAAGGTTTTGGATTCCAAAGGCATCATACTACATAAAACTTTATTTTATCAGTGCCATGGAAGAGGATCCAATAGTCATATAATGGTGGTAGCGGTAGAAATGAATTTAACCTGTATATTTGAAGAGGATCATGAGATGTAAGCAATAATAATGAATTTGTTGAACTAGTATATTTGAAGAAGAATCTGGTAGTTTATGAAATTTTGGAACCCTTTTTTTCATCTCAATATGTCTGTGAATAACAACAATAACAAAAGGCATCTAAGGTTCAAGCTCAACAATAATGTTACTCAATATCTCAATAGTCAAATTTAGGCAGTATCTTAAGTTCAGGCTCAATAAAAAATTTAGTTATTGATAACTGATCATCATAATCAAGCTCTCTCCAGATCCCAAATCATTAACACAGACACGCTTAATTGACATAGGCCAATCTTTGAAAGAATTTGGTAGATTTGGCATAGATTTTTTAACTTGTGGGGTTGACACAGGTCTCTGAACAATTGGAGTCTGAAAAACCGGTATTTGCCGTGACTTCTCATAAAGATATGATTTTGGATGGAGGAAATGATCACGCATAGAGAGCCATAATATGATCTATATAAATGATGACAACATCCATACGAACTATAGCTTGGACACCAAGGTTCTTCATAAGGCAACTGACAATTCATTAGATGTGAGACAATTAAGTATTATAGTAAGAATGGGTAAGACCATAGATATCAAAAGAATAGCAAAACCAATTTGATTATGATACCTATGGTATTGATGAATATCACCAATATGATCATGTGACCTTGAAAAGCTAAATCCGAAAATTATGTAATTTGGAAGGTGAGTTTAAATTACCCTAGATAAATTTCTTGGTATAATATAGGCAATCATCATAGGTCGGTCATTCTTTACACGATTCTATGGCAATACATAAAGAAATTGAAATAATCCAGAAACAAAGGATAGTTCTAATTATTTTTTCATGGAAATTAAATGCATAAAATAAAGATAAAAATAAAAATGCTGAACTGATCTAATGCAACCTTCATCCATGTCTTGTATTGCATCAGATAATATAATAACGAAGTAATAAATAATCAAGTTATATGAAGCAAAGAGTTCATACAACAGGTATCATTTCATATTCAAGTGGCTCTAGTATAAAATCTTCTTCTTGAGCAATGCCATTCACCAACAACTTCCCATTATGAACCTATCAAATCCAATAAAAAAATATACAATCATGATACTCGAATGAAAAAATAATAAATTTATAAACAGTAGGACAAAAGTGGTCAACGGATAATAGAAGCCAACCTCTACAATATCTCCAGCCTTAGCCACAATTCTTTTAATGAATACATCATGAGGACTATAGCCATACTCCTGCAAAAGAATACTCAAAAGTCAAAATGAGCTTAATTATTGTAAGCAGTCAACCTAAACAAGGTGCAATCAATCAAACTCTTACCATCAAAATCAATCAAACTCTTACCATCAAAATTGGAGGAGCCCTAAAGATAATGATATCTGTGAGTTCTGGCTCTTTGAAAATATAAGAAACCTGCAGTACATAAACATAAACACAATGATGAGTTAAATAATTTCAACATTGCTCGCAGAGACAAAAAAAAATAATGATTTTGTAACACATTAATATATATATACATATATACAGAGAGAGAGAGAGCTTCATTCTCCAAAAAAGTTATCTTGATGTTACAAACTTGTTGAAGTGTACAAGATCAGGAATATGTATCTTGATCAATAACCCACGAAAAAAAAAATCCAGATCTAATTTGCTGTGAAATTTGGTCGTAAACTTGACAAAAAATGGTGGGTTAATAATGCCCCTAGTCAAACGCACTACTACCATGATATTTTGCAGGATGCATACAGCCATACACTCATTCCATTTTGTAATATTAACAATATTAATGAAATTCATTAGTAATGTCATTGTTATAGTCGCGTAATAGCATAGATCTTAATTTATGTATAATCATGAGACCATTGGCAAGTTGGTGAATAAAGTTGATCCCCTGCAAAGGTGGGCAAGTTGATATGCACTTCTTTTCTCATGATTGGGCTGACGCTCTACAAAAAATAATAGCTCATGATCAAATACTATGTCATAAAAATTGACTCATGATTGGCCATGGCCCTGTCGTATAAAAAAGTTCATGATTAGGCTTAAGCACGGCATAAATGATGATGCATGCATTATTCCAGTTTATTTTCATTTTATTGTAATTTGAATATTATAATATTTGTTTAGGTTTTTTTATGCTATCCAATGATGGAGAACATCCAATGATCATGAGTAGGATGTGCTTGGGCATGGCAAACCTTGGGTGTGCTAGCTTCTTGGGTTCTTTTGGTCTTTGGGATGCTTGCTGCCTCTCGGGTTGGGTCTTGGCTGCTCTCGGGTTGGGCTTTGGCTGCTTTGGTTTTGAGCTGGAAATTTGAAAGCTACTTGGTTCTAGCTCATTATTGCTTGAGCTGATGTTTAGCTCATAATTTGGTGGAGTTATTGCACTTGAAAGCTCATTATGTGGAGTTTGGAACCTTGCCTTTTCCCCTTCTTTGTGTCCCCTCGATTTCTCCCTGGCTGCTGTTTCCCGTGCATGTTTCCTGCTCCTTCCTGTGGGCTGTTCCGATTCCCTGCTCTGTCCCGACTCCTTGGGTGCCTGCTCCTTTCCCGTGGCTGCTTTTACCCGGTTCTCTGTGCTATCTTTTCGGGTGTTGTTATGGGATTATTTATGCCCTTTTTTTACTGGTTTAGATGGAGGAGAAATGGTTGTGGCTGCCCCCTTCTCTCTTATAAATTAGAGATGTTTTTGTCATGAGGAGGTTGTTGATGAACTTGAGAAAAGTTTTTAAAAACATGAGGGTTTCTTCTCTTCTCTTGGAAAAGCTTGAGAGTTTGTTCCAATTCTATCTTCATCCTCTCTATTTCGTCTTGGCTTCTAATCTCTTCTTCTCTATGCAAGTTCCACTCCACTTGTATGCTTCTTCTTGAGCTTTTGGAGGTGTTTGTTGGCAGAATTTGGTGACATTTGCTGGAGGAGTTTGATTGGACGTTGGACCTTGTTGCTGTGGTGGACCTTTGGTTTGCAAGCCCTAAGCACTTATCATATTTTTACTACTTTTCGTTGCATGTGAGAAAACCGCTTGCCAGTAGTTCTGAGGATAGTGATTTTATTTTATAATTTTATTTCGTTTGTTCGACTTTTTTGTTTGTTTTGGTATTTGTTTGGATGTCTACATTCTAGATTGAATTGCGTTTGGTTTTAATTGTCCTAGTGTTCTCCTATCTTGACTTTTCTTTCTAGTTTGCCTGCATCAAATGATTGGATGACTAATTGTGGAATGACAATCCAACAAACCTAGGATGCACACGGGCATGACACGATACGGATACGGAACACATGTATTATTGAAAATATAGGACATATTCCCGCATAGAACATGGAGGACCTCAAGCTTCAGCAACAGTGAGGATGTCAATCTTTGTATCAATGGGCTTTGGGATCAGTTTTGACATCAAGAGGGGGGAGAATGTCAATTGTCGAATTTTGGCATCGAACTTTGACATCGAGATGGGAGAGAAGTTGGGAAATGAACATATGAGAGTCGGGCTTTAGAAGGTGATAATTAGATGCGTAGATCCGACAATGTCAACCCACACCCTAGTCAAGCATGCGAGAAAGGAAAAGTTGGGGAAGGAATATTTACGAGAGAAGTTCTTGAAAGAGAATAAACTATTAGAAAATTTGAGGATTAAATAAAATTTAAATTAAATTTTCATGGAACAAGTGTTGGGCATGCCGCATGCATGTATGATTTTATTATTATTTTTTAATTAGACACGTGACATTTCTTTATTAGATTTAAATGAGAATTTGACTCTTAATATGACACAATGGAGAAAAATGATTCATGCAACCGACATCACGTAGTGAGAAAAAGGCATGATGATGATGTTGTTGTCATTTTTAATTGGACACATGACAACTGTGTATGACACATGTCGAACGTATGTAAATATTTGACACTTTTTTGAGACTACATAGACTCTTAGCATGAAAGTGTCAGTTCATCATAGCTACCAAGAGATGGAGAATGTCACATGTATAATTGTGAATCATGATAGTTCATACATTTGAGTGATTTACCTATGTAACATAGCATAAAGTTACTTGAGCATTGAATCTTGCTTCAATTATTACATAATCCCTGGCATGCAACACCAAGATTACACGCTTTATCATGTCGCCTAATTTAAATACCATGCCAACGTCGAAATGAAATTTATCAAAATGAAATATAATTGAGGTGATATGATGTGATTCACATGCTATATCATACTTTAAGTGGCAGATCACACAAGTTGTGCTTCATCGGGCTATTCAAATTTAAGGAGTTAAAAGAACGAGTATTTAAGCAAGCTAAATAACAAGTAGTGACTTCCTGGATGGCTATTTATATTTGTAAAATTATGGTTTATGTTAATTGTTAATATATTTGTAATTAGGGGGTCAACAGATTTCATTGATGAATGTGTGTAATAATCACACTAGCATCATATTTGGTGGATTAACTGAGAAGTTGTATTCAGATTTAATTGCTCTGAAGTGTCATTTGTGGATACAAATTGTTATATAGTTGCATGAATGTGTGATTAGAAGAATGCAAATGGTTAATGTTGCAAATATTCAGCTATGATATCTAGACTTTTGGGTGACAATTGTGTGGGCTGTGCCAGGGGGTACCACTATGACATGTCCCACCAAATTTTCCCCAAAAATTTTGCACTTTGTCACTCCGGCGTTCCACCAAAATTTCACCAGAAATGTCAGCAACATAACAATTGAATAGACACTTAAATTTGACTTTATCTTACACACATGAACATCAATTTATATCCAAAAATAAAATTATAAAAAAAAAACATCAATTTATTTCCACTAATATCAGACCGCCTAAACATAAATAATCCACCACACATGATACAAATTTAATTAATACATTTTTTTTCCTCCAAATGCTCTAGATCCCATAGTAACATGTGCACCAACAAGCATTCACATAACCACAATTATCATCATCATGAACAACATCATTTACCTTAACTCAACAATTACGGGTTGACTTTATGAATTCTCATTTTTCATTCAATACTATTAAGTATGAGAAGTTAAACATATTCGTCAAAATTCATTTTGCGCAACTTCTATTTATGTAACATTAGGCATGTCACTTCTCTTTCACAATCCTCTGACACTAGTCTTATTTACTCATCTAATGGGCACTTTTTCCAACCTTCACTATACATGTCCAAAATATCCAAGTACTTTTAATTACCTTAACTTTGATGAATGATACTCAAACTATTTTTCTAATATGGTTATTCCTTAATTTATCCAATATAACTTTTTCAATGATTTTCTTTTTTTTCAAATTCATGCAAAATAAAAAAACTAATTATGATTTTATAATATTTACCTTCAAGTCCCTATTTTCTAACATAACTTCTTATCACCCAAAACCACAATTACACAACAACAAAAAGGAAGCAAAGGATGGAAAATTGTTCCCTCCTCAAAAAGAGTTGTAATTCACACCTATTTATATTTTGAAGTTATTACCTTATATATGAGGTCAAAAAAATCCATTATATTTAACATCGTAAAAACTAACAGAGCATCTGATTTATAACTTCTAAGATAATTTGATAATCAATTAAATTCATCAAAACTTCCCTAATCAATGACTCTAATTGCATGCAATGATATTTGTAATTTAAAAACATGGATGCTTTCAAATATCTTTGAAATAAATAAATAGGCATTTAATAATATTTAATTTGCATCTGATTCTTTATATTTATGAACTACATAGGAAAGGCAAGACTTTAAAGTGGGTTATTATATGTCATCCGATTATTCATATTTTCTTGCTCGATCATCATCATCATTAAGCACATCCCGAATATTGAGGTCGGGCCTTACTAATCCTCATTTTCTATTCATTAAAATATTCTTAACAAATTAAAATTATGTTCAACCATTTATATCCATGCTAACTTAGGTCAACTCCTCCTTACTAATCCTCTAATAATAATTGTATATATCCATCTAATGATGTAATTTCTACCTTTTGTTGTGCACATCCAAACCGTCAAAATTTACTATCAATTACTGCCTTCAATAAATTTCACTCCAATCGTCCTCTAATATAATAATTCTTTAATTTATCCACTTCTAAATTTACCACACATTCATCATAGCATTTCTATTTAACTTACCTATCAACGATTTTTTTGTTTCTTACATTTAATTCATATAGAATCAGCCTAATTGTAATTTTATAAAATTTATCATGGAATTTTCATTATTTCCTCTCATCTCATCATACTTGATCCATAAGTAATTTTCATATTATAAATGACAATTAACTATGTGATCTTCAACTTGATGGCTATATAAAATGATATATACAAAAAATAAATATGAAAATGATCATTCAGAAAGTCTGTGAGTGCTAAAGTAAATAATGGAAGTCATAACCAAATTTAGCAAAACTAAAATCATAAGCCCCTCATCTATAAGAAGGAAAAAAAATAAGATTGTGTTTTATCGTATTTCACCTTCTCCGCCAAGATGCGGTCTCCAACTTCAAATGTTGGGTACATGGACCGACTAGGAATTCCTCTCGGCTCAGCCAAACGAGAGCCTGACAACAAAGAAACAATAACTGTAGCAAAAGCGATCTTCGCATCAATGGAGCAAGAATTCATCCACCGTGAGAACCACCAGTTCTTCTCACAAGGCTGAACCTGGAATTCAGGCAAGTCATTTCTTCCGAGATTATCAAAGACACTCGTCGTTCCTACCAGCAAGACAGGAGGACAGTTCTTCAATGTACCCTCAGCTGAAACCTTTGTTTCAGGTTTTACACCCTCATTCTTCATGCACACGATAGATCCAGCAAGCTCATCAGATTCTTGAGTCACATCCACAGTATCAGTTATCCCTTTGTCCGGAGGGACATGTCTTGCTGAACCTGGAAAGAAATCACAGCACGGGAGCAACTTGCTTACCCGTAAGAATGGAAAAAGTGACGAGGTATCGAATCCTGCACTCATGGAAGCCGACACGCCAAACGCCCCTAAACTAAGACTCGGTTCTGAACAAGTTCCTAATGCAGAAAGAAATCTCACAAAAGGGTTGATTCTGCTGGGTAACTTTTCATTGTGGCTATCCCTGGGAAAGATGGAGAAGCTGGATGCATCCGCAGTTGCATCAGAAGACTTCAGTGGTTCATCAGCAGTAGAAGCTGGAAACTTTGAAAGAGACTTATCAGGGAAGAACGATAACTCAGAGGCAACTATACCAGCTGGAGCCTTAGACATCCCCTTTGCCCTGGAAGCCGGAGACATTGAAGAAGACTTGATGGAAACCAAAGAAGCGGCCAGAGGCTTCGATATTCCCTCGGCGTCAGAAACAGGAGGATTCTCACGGCTATTCTTAGGGAAGATCGGCAACTTTGAAGTGTCCATAGTGCCGGCCGGAGTCTTAACGAGCTCCTGAGCAGCGGATGATTGATTAGCAGTCCGGGAACCTCCAATCGAGGATAATATGCGTGATGGAAACCTGGAAGCATGAGACCATGAGCAATCCTTCGCCGAAGACTTCTCGCAAATCCCGGATATCTCATTATCAGATAGTTGGTTTGCCAAGAAGGCCAAGAAGGCCAATGGACGGCAACCGGACTCGTTGATATGGAGAAAGTTGCAGCAGCGGGTACCAGCGGAGGCGGCCAGACTCTGGGAAAGGTAGCCCGAATAGAGAAGGGTGGCACGGATGGCCATAGGTCTGGGGTTACAAGAACAAACGGAGATAGATGAGAAGGTGTGAAATTAGGGTTAGTTTTAGGTTTTGCTTCGTTTTCCTGAGCTCTTGGCTCAGGGAACGAAGAAGGTTGGGGATACGAAAGACAGCCAGAAATCTCATGGAAGATACTGCTGGCGGAACTTCGCATTTATTTCTTCGCACGCTAAGGGGCTAATTGAGTCAGGTACGGTTGGAGAGATGCAAGCCACGAGATCCTTATATTTGGAATTTGTCAGATTTAAAAAAAAATTGAAATAGTGGTATCACAAATGTTCTATACACATATTTTTCATCAAACAAAAAAAAAGGGATTTTTACATACATACCACTTAAAACTATGATATTTACTTATTTAACACCTAAAGAATGATATTTACACACATACCACTAAAAAACCTTTTCTCATTTCTAAAAAACCACTCCGTGCTCTCCGTCTCTGCTCTCCGTCAAATCCCGCTCGAGTGCTCTCTGTTCGCAAGCTTGTTTTGGGCGCGAAAATCTGCTTCATCTTCCGTCGAGACACTTCACGCCATCATCCCTCTGTGTTCCCGTCGAGACGCCTCCCGTGCACCTCATGCCATCGTCTTTGTGTTCCCATCCCTCTGTGTTCCCGTCGAGAAGCCTCCCGTGCACCTCACGCCATCTGTGTTCCCGTCGAGACCTCACGTCATTACTCCAAGGTTCAAAATATTCTTTGTTTTGAACATATTTGGCAATACAGCTAAGGGGTCATGCTTATGGTTAATCAGTTTTTTAACAGAACTTTAAATTTTTCTTTGTCCGTCGAGACCTCATGCTTATTGAAAAATATGACTGGTTTAAATAAGTGATATTAGGGAATTTGTTTAACTTATCTGATTAATCAGTTTTTTAACAGAACTTTAAATTTTTCTTTTTCCGATAGCTATGCTTCATTATGTTTCCTTATATAATTTTTCTCATTTATCTTATGTGCTAGATATGGATTTAGATATGGATTTCAACAGTTGGTGTTATATTGTGTTTAAATATGGAGGATATTGGAGTGCCGTGAAGGGACAGAACAGGCTAAAATATGTTGGTGGTAATCAGAGAACTTTAAAGCTTGAGATAAGTGATGTCAATTTGTATTTACTGAAAGAACGAACCGAAGCTCTATGCCCCTGGCTAAGGGGTCATGCTTATGACCTACACTACCACATTAATGGTACATCGCCTAAAAATTACATGCCCATTATAAGTGATATTGATGTAATGGAGATGCTTACAAATTCTTCTGGTTCCCATAGAATGGAGGTTGTTGTTGTTGTGAAAGAGCTTGAAGAAAATATGGGTATGACTTGTGATAGCGACCATATTGAGATGCGTGATTTAAGTGGCAACATAACGACAATCAATGATGGTTTAGTTGGTGGAATTTCTGATGGTGTTATTAGAAGTCCTGATTTAGAGGATAATTCACTAGTTGTTGGATCGCGTTTTGAAGATTCATGCAGTTTCAAACAAAGCATTCGTTCCAATGCAATAATACATAACTTTGATATCAAGATTAAGGCAAGTGACAAAACACGAGTTATTGCTACATGCTCATATCGTGGTTGCCCTTGGAGGATAAGAGCTTCGTTATGTTCCGATGGGCATTCTTTTGAAGTGAAAAAATTGCATCCGACACATTTATGTCCAGGGGTTAATAGAGCTGGGAACAAGCAAGCAACTATAAGTTGGGTTGCACAAGAAATCCAAGAGTCCGACAAAATGAAAATGAAGACGATGGCATACCTTGCCGAAACAGAGAAATGAGAAGCTTGTGGAAAAAAAAAAAATCTGAAGAGAAAAAGATGATGCAGGGTAAACAATACCTTCCTTGCCGACCTAGATAAATTTAAAAAAAAAAATAGAACCCTAAAATCCCAGGCAAGGTTTTAGACGGGGCAGACGATGCATACCTTGCTCCTGCGAAGTGATCGAAGAGTACGAAATCAATGGTGAAGGCGACGGCTTTCGCTGCGAAAGACAATGCACAGCGCGAACGAAATCGTTGGAGCTCGCTAGGGCTAAAAGGGGGAAGAAGCTTGCGAACAGAGAGCACTCGAGCGGGATTTGACGGAGAGCAGAGACGGAGAGCACGGAGTGGTTTTTTAGAAATGAGATAAGGTTTTTTAGTGGTATGTGTGTAAATATCATTCTTTAGGTGTTAAATAAGTAAATATCATAGTTTTAAGTGGTATGTATGTAAAAATCCCAAAAAAAAAACATTAATTGAGATTTACTCATATGAATCATGGAGCATAATTATTTGTCGCATGTCTCTGCCGATTTTCACAGCAATAAATTCATGCATACTCTTATTGGTCATAATGTATCAGTTTAAGTTGTATCTCTTTTAATAATTTGAAGCTCAATTTTTGTCAAATTATGATTAAATGCTTTAGTGATAAAAGCAAAATTCCTTAAGCTTTATTGTTTTATCCCTAATTGACGGCAATACCTCATACAACACTCTCCTTAAAGTTCACATATTTTATAAGTAGAATATGGTGCAACCACTCTTTATCAATGTGTGAAATATGTAAACACTAATGTTAAAAATTTCATTCATGGAAAAACCAATCAACAGACTATACATGGGATCAATATTTACGAAGATATAGATAATTACTCTATGAAGTAGCAGGACGTACCTACTCTTTTATCTAGAGGCCACATTTTATGGGAGACCAATTTTGGCAACCTTCTCATCATCATGAAAGGAAAGGAGGAAGATGAGGTCAAGGTTTGAGGAAAAGTAAACATGATGTTATGATTCCTCCACCTCATTCAATGCCCTTAATATTGCTCTATTTGAGGTTTGACTTTGAGGAACAAAACACCTAGATGCCTTCTTAATAATCAATTTAGTGGCACTCCTCAACTATAGGCCTTAGGGAGACCTCTTGAATGATTTGTATGGCTTAAATGTCACTTGGTGATGGATCAAATTAAGGATAAGACAAATTCAAGCTTCCTTCATACTATCAACTTGGTTGTATGATTTATACATTAATAAGCATTGTCTATTAGCTTTTTTAGTAGCTACGAATTGATTGTGGGAATTTATCTAACTTGGGCATATTTAGTAGATGAGTTACATATGTTATTAATGCCTCCTGTGATGAGTATAAAGAACATAAGAAGTAGTCCTCATTCATTTTTCAAAGTCAATCCATGAGTAATTAAATTAGCTTATCATAATAATTGATAAATCATCAAAAATTATCTTAATCGGACACGAATCTCGAAACACTTTATGACTAGAAACTTTCGAAATTAAATTTTGAGCCATCCAAACTCCAATTTTAGCAAACTTATAGTTGAATCGACCGTGAAGAGTTGGAATGGATTGTTGTGGCTTATGTTATATGGAATGGTTTTTATACTTTTTACATTAATATTTGTATACTGTTGCTTGAAACTCTTGAAGTGGGATATGTTGATGTCTTATGTTGTGGGACTGTAGCTACTATTTTTTTGACATGCTTGCATGATTACCTGGTAGGCGTTGGCTGGGTAGATTGGTGGATTATGTTCATTTGGATTTTGGGGCAGATGTTTCATGTTGTTGTGGTTGATGTTAAGTGGAATTGTTCGCATGTTGCCCTATTCTATTTTGCTTATGGTATTAATTGAAATTGAAATCGAGTTAGATGTTAAATGTTAGCTTTGTTGTTTTGTCCTATGGATATGGTGTTTTTGGACCTTTGGATCATTGGATGTTATGAAATAATGTATAGCTTTATATATATGTAATCTTTCAAATATCTTTTTCGAGGTGGGCCGAGAGTATAAGTTTCGCACTGCATTAGCTAGGTTCGGGTTATTGTTGTTTAGTGTCCAAAATGGATTTAGGATCCCGGCCAAACCCAAAATCATAAGACCCCAACTTTCGGGAATACAATCCTAAATTTTTAATAAAACGATTAACTCAAATTAAAACGTCTCTCAATCTAAAACTTAAATAAAGCCTAAAACATATAATAGGTTGGGGCATTTCTGAATTATTTTAGAATCCCAAAGTGCCTCATACTTTTTATCCATTGATATTTGAAAATAAGTGCTCAAACTTTGATCCAATAGAAATTGAAATTCACGCCTCACCTCTTTTGATATCACTCCTTAACAAATCTTCAAATAATTTTTTGTCGTTATTTTAATCGAGAGTATTTACAAGGAATTCAGCTTCCCTACAATGTAATTGACTATGAGGACTTGCATTCGTAGGAAATTTAGAGCCCACATCTAATTTTCAAAACTCAATTAGTCTTATTTGCAAAAAAATTAAAATTAACATGACAATCATTATCGCCATAATCGGATCATCGACGATAGGTGATATCTTCTTCCCTCGAGGAGGCATATCGTTTATCGTAGTGATTTCAAATATAAAAGTAATGATGCTTCATCTTGGTTATAATAACTAATTATAGGTGGGTCCTCATTTTGACCCTCCGATGTTATATGTAGTTATTCTTTTGATTTGTCTATTATAATTAGGGATAAAATTGTTAATTTTATTATCTAAACCCATTAGGGAACAATACATTTACCTCCCAAGGTAATATATCGTTCATAATGACGTGTTCGACTTCGAGATTAAAATATCAAATTAAAATTTTCAAAGAAAATTTCAAAATCTCTTTTTTCAAACTTCCAAACACAAAACAATAAATAACAACATCTTCACACCTAACAATGTAAAAAAAAAAATCAAAAGTCACATAAATCATATATAATTCCATATGTGTGGCAGAATATTAGGGTTTACGCATGTGTTTTCAACCATTACTAACCGCAAAACAATTCATATACATTATTAACAATAATATTTTGAACTTTTATAAGAACCCTACACACAACAAAATCCACAAAGCTTTGTACAATGAAACATATATGGTGAAATTTAAAATTAAATTACAAGAAAGCATGTAGAATGATGAGAATAACAATAAACCAAAAGTTACAATGTGCAACTTTCACATATATTGGAATATCCTAACTTTTGTGAAGTTTGTTCAATTTAAAACCCAAAAAAAATGGGAAACTCACATTATTAAAAAGTAAGATGGGTGAATGTGACCTACTTCAATCTAGACAAATTTTTCAACAGGCCCGATGGACAAAAACCACTCGAAGACGCTTGAAATATATTTTTTCTTAGTAGAATTATCTCTCACTCCCTCCATCGGGTTGCCCAAAAGAATGGAATGAGTTTATAAAATTGATTTTCAATGTATTTAATTTTCATATAAAAATTTAGAATACAACTTCGTGGCGCCCAAAGTCCTAATGTCATTGCGCTCCTAATGAATCCCAAACTTATTCATAATGCAAAGAACTAGTGTTGCATCGTCATAACGCTTTCAGTGAACCTTAATCTATCAGAATACAAATAACTCAATACTGCAATACTTTCAATGAATCTTTAATTTAGTGAAAATATAGAGAGTTCAACACCGCAACGCCCAAATCATAGTGCTCCCAAGGGATTTCCCACGCGCATACTCCAATTCGAACATTGAACCTTTGGTTAATTATTTAAGCAGAAAACAATTCTTTAACAATTTACATAAATTCATAAAATGTAATTTAAACATGTTAGTCTTACCATATTTTCAGTTTAGTTTATTATAGGTGTTTGAGTCACCGCAAAAGTAGTTCTTACATTGATGCACACCATCACTTATAACATTGAAGCACGTTGCTAACACTAAGGTCGGCGCTTGTCGACTTCATTGCTTATTGTTCTTCACAAAGTCGACAACTTTATTTATGGACGTGAACATCAATATTATATTTGAGTTAGTAGTCTTTAATATCCTCACCTCAAAAGAGAACAACTAAACAATCAACAAATGATCTATTGATAATAACTCCAATGCCTTTAATTTGACTCGGCTTCCACCATAAAATTCATCATTCATAGTTCACATCAACTATATTGCAATACTTTTAACAATTGTTGATATATCCTCAAAAATCATCTTGATCGGGCACGAATCTCGAGGCAAAATCAAGCCGGAAACTTCAAAAATTAAATCTGGGATCACCTAAACTCCGATTTCAATGAACTTACTGTCAAACTGAGCGTCTCAGAAATACGAACTCAACGACGCCAAACTCGACTCAATCCGAGCCCAAATAAGTCCAAATCAAGCACCCGAAACATTGTTGAAAAGTTCAAACCATAATTTGAGTTACCAAACGTTTTCCAAATATGACGTTCTTATAATCGAATCGAGTGGCTCGACGAGATGAATCCAACGAACCTAGTATCGCCGAATTCCGACATCATTAAGATATTCAAATGTCTGATGAATGGTGCACGATCAAGAGATTCAATATCGGTCGTCCATTCGACCACTCCCTATTTACCCATGATCTCACACCTATTTACAAGCTATGCCACTCCAGAATATCTATAAATAGATCCCTCATTTCTCATGAGAGGGGGCCCAAGCAAGAAGAAGAGAAGAAGAAGAGTAGGGAAGGATAGGAGGGAATAACTCCTCCTCGACCACCACCGGAGTTCTGCCCGACGCCCGAGTAATGTCGGAGTTCTGCCTGGCGCCCGAGTGACGCCGGAATTCTGTCGGATGCCTGAGCGACGTCGAAATTCTACCCAAGTGACGTTAGAATTCTGTCTGACGCCAAAGTAATGCTAGAATTCTGCCGGAAGCATAAGTGACGCCGGAACTTTGCCCGATTTCCAAGTGACGTCGGAATTCTAAGCGATTCTAAATTCGGCTTGAATATACAACTTGTTTGAATTTGATTTCAATCCGGAAGTGAAGTATTGTAATCTGATCGTCCTAAATTTTAAGGACGAGTCAGTCTCTTGTATCTCAAACAAACACTAGTAGAATTATTTCAACTTAGCGTGACCCCGTGGTTTTTTCCCTTTTCAGGGTTTTTTCACGTAAAAATCCTGGTGTTATTTCTCCCATGTTTGTGTGCTAGATATCCGTACAACGCTGAGATGAAATTTTTTTAACTCTATCGCTGCGTTTACTCTAGTCCGCAACAATTATGAAAAAAATATATCATGTTTAGCTGATTACATGCACAAATGAAATAGTTTTAACTGAGGTATGCCCTCTAGCATATCCTTATTATTATTTTTTTAATTTTCGTATAAAATCTCTGATGTTCTTACTTTCTTTTTTATGTATTGATCTTTATTTAAAACTTGGAATTTATACTCTCTCACTCAATTCTCAGAACAATTCTAAAATGTAATAATAGATTTTAATAATATATTCGTGATAAAGAGCAACCCATCAGATTTTTTTTATAAATTTTTTTGTTTAAGTTTTAAGTGGCTTGTGTGGCAAAACTCTTTCAAAGATTATCAAATAATTAACTTTTTTTACTTAATAATTAAATAAATCATTATAATTTGTATATAAATAAATAAATAAATATTAGGTAGTTTTGATGGTGGCGCATTATCTTCATATATGGCTTCCTATTCTGTCTTCAGGTCTGAAGCCGCTTCAACATTTTTTCAATGGCCGCTACCTTCTCCACCATTGTGCGTTCTCCCTCTTCAATCCCTACTAGTTCATTTCGTTCTCACTCCCGTCTCTTCTTTTTTGAAGCTCGTTCATTATCTAATAGTAAATTTGATATTTTATTGCTTTAATTTTTTTTTTTTTCAAGCATTCAAGCGTTCGTCCAGCAACTGTTGGGTCGGTAGCCATCCATCGATGCTACACCGGGAGCGTTTTCTCCATCCCAAAGTTACGGAGGCGTACTCTTACTTCTAAGGAATTATCATCGGCTGCTGCTTTCTCGCCGTCTATCTTGTCGCTCACCGCTTCCTATTCTCGCCGCATAAGCCACTTCACTACCTTGACTAAAGCAGTATTACAGGTCAGAACCCGTAGAATGTCAACTTTTTGGAGTTGTTCTACTTGCATTTTGGGACAAGTTTTTTTTTTTTTTTTTTTTTTTTTTTTTTTTTCTTTTCAAAATTTATTAGGATTTCATTGGTTTCCTGCTACTGTTTGGCAGCTGGTAGGATTCAGTAAATACTGTAAATTCATGTTAAGAAAATTTTTAGGGGATTAAAACTTGAGAACTCTTAAATCTTGCTAAATTCTGATAAACTATTTGACTTCTTTGCTTTAGGATTAAGATTTGTCACGGTATAAGACCTTACATCCGTTAAATCTTGAATTGCGGGATTTAACAAATCATGAATTTAACCAATAACCAGATTAAAATGGGATTTATCAAAAAAAAAAAAAAAAAAAACAAAAGATATAAATTATCAAATATTATGTTTGCCGGGAGTAAAGTTAAATCTTACTTAAATCCCTCCTAAAATAGGATAGCAAACCGCACCTTCAAGTGGTTTGAGGGATCAAACTGATTAGTGCCAAGTTGTGACTATGGTTCATGTTGTTTTTGTATTCAAGCAAAAAAAAAAAAAAAGTGCCCCCTTCTTCCTTGCTGCATAATGTATTTTAAGCTATTTTATGCCTTGAGTTTGATGCAACTTTCAAATCTAATTAGTTTTAGTGGCTGTTGGATACAAGTAGGATTTAGTAAATCCTAGAGGCATTAAATCCTAAATTTTTTTTTTGTCAAGATAGATGTTAAATATGGTTGAATCCTAATAAACTGTTTTACATTTGTTTTCAAGATTTAAGATTTAAATGAAAGAGAAGAGAGGCACAATGAGGAGAATGGATGTAAATATCTTAAATCATACTTCCCCAATGATCTATTAAATATAAGATTTAGCATTCAGTGGGAGGAAGATGGGATTTAAGAAGGGCGTAGGATTTATGTGGCTCAAATACTGTTTGGCAAGAATTAGCTCTAATCCTAGCTAAACTTGGTTAACTATTTCAGATAAATCACCCTTTAAAGATGGGTAAACCAGATCTTAGATTTTTCGGCCTCAGAGAAATGTCATGGTAAGCCAACTAATAGTTCATTGGGCAATTTGGACTCTCTCAAATTCTCTTTCAATCTAACTCCTTGTGGTAAAATTGTTAGTGAAAGTTAATCGAGCTAGTCATGTGCAATTCATTAACCATTAATTTACTGTGTGTATATGATTTTTGTAATAATTACCACATTTATTTGCCCTAATTAACCTATTATTTTTTGGGATATTTACACATATACCACTGAAATCTTCCTTATTTATAAAATTGAATTCCAATCATTTTTTAACTATCAATTCTTTCTATTTGTGCGTGAAATGATCAAACCGCCAAGAGCCTGATAAAAGAGAAATCATAAGTTGAGATTTTGATTTAAATTTTGAGATGTGGGTGAGAATTTAAAAAATAAAGCTAGAAATGTGTTAGTTTTGTAAATGCTTATGATTTATATATTATATATGAAATTGCTCAGTTTTTTTTATTTTTCAGAATTGGCCTAAATTATTTAATCAACCCTTTTGTAATTTATTAAGAACCTAAATTTATATATAATTAAACTAGCAAATTATTGTTGTTAACATTAATTAATACTAATTACTTACCTTATTATTTAGAACTTAACCCTAGTAAATGGATTAACTCAATGGATTTCTCATCAAGAATTCATTTTTAGATTAATTAATTGCCTATTATTAAATATAAGATTCATGTTTATGATCTTATTAATTAATCATATTGATGAATGCCCTTGAACTGTGAAGTTAATCTATACAAGTATTTCTATCCCAAACAAATTAGTAGATTACTCGAGATGATTTTTAACTCCCACCTAACAGAGTATCTTGTATCAAGTCATCAAGCGTCTAATATATATATATATATATATATATATATATATAAATTTAAAATAAGCTAATGCCACCTGACAAATGAAAAACTCTTATAGTTCTTAACTAAAAGGCTACCATCGGTTATGTTTAATGCTTTATATTTTAGATAAATGGCCATTGAAGCTTGAATAAAAATATGCAATAATTTATGATGATGTAATTTGTTAAGATGAACTTTGTTTTCCAGATTCACCAATTTTCTGTGATGAACTTATTTTTTTATTTTTTAATAAGTTTAATACTCTTCTTTAACAGTGAGGGTGTGAAGTCTTTTTCTAAATATTTATGTTGACTAATTGTAACTTTGTCGTGTTAATGGAATCTCAGGAAACACCATTGCAGGCAAAGGTCACCCAAAAGGTATATTTTGACATTAACATTGGCAACCCTCAGGGGAATCCTGATGGGAGAGTTGTGATAGGGCTCTTTGGTGATGATGTACCCCAAACAGCGGAGAACTTCCGTTCTCTGTGCACAGGTTGATAACTAATTGTCATCTTTAGGATTCACTCTGCAGTACCATTATATTCTCTTTACATAATATATTTCATGTTGGGAAAATATTGAATTCATTCATTATATTTATTTATTTTTCTGTAATAGGGGAAAAAGGCTTTGGTTATAAGGGATGCATATTCCATCGTGTCATAAAGGATTTCATGATACAAGGGGGTGATTTTGAGAACGGAAATGTGAGCTTTATCTCCTTTCTCTCATCCTCTATTTCTCTTTTATTCTCTTTCCTTTTAAATTGAACGAGGTTGTATTCGCATGGCTGGTGTATTCGCCGCCGCCATCTGATCGAAGAGCACGGGGGTTGGTGTTATATTGAGTGCGGATTAAATTACAGAGGTTCTTGAATTTAGAGAGAGCTTATTGTTTTGTGTAAAGAAAGTAAATCCAGGTGTATCGTGTAAAGTCGTCGATGAAAATAATGTAGTAGCAGTGACCGTCAAGAGACACTTGCGAGACCGGACCCCAGATGTCCGTATGAATTAATTCAAAAGGAGCCTTAGTAAACGAAATGCTTTTATTGAAAGTTAATTTGTGGCTTTTCGCCTGATTACAAGAGTCACACATAAAGGTAGAAGAAACATTTGAAATTTCTGGATAAATGCGAGCAAGAACGGAGAGGGTATCCTTGTTCGGGTAACCGAGGCGTGAGTGCCAGACGTCCGGGATTGTGGTGGTGGAGGAGAGTGCTGTGTGTCTAGTGCCCAGAGGAATACAATTATACGAATGCTGTATAAGCCATTACGAAGTTGACCATGTAGGAGCGGCTGTTGATCCCAAAGATCCTTCATAAGGAATCCGTTAGCATCAAAAGTAATTAAAATAGCATTATCGGTGGTGAGTTTAGAGACGGAGAGGAGATTATGAGTGAGCGACGGAACATGTAAGAGTTTGTGAAGAAGTAGCTTACGAGACGTGTCCGGTAGCGGGAGCAGACCTTGGCCGGTGTGATGGATTGGGAGCGTGGATCCGTTGGCTGTAGATACCGTATCCTGTCCTTGATATCCTTGCAGGTAGTAGAGCTGAGAGGCATCTGAGGTGAGATGAGCGGAGGCTCCGGTGTCAAGAACCCAGTCTTGACTAGTGGCGGTGGTGGGAGTAGCAAAAAGAGCCCGAGGTTGTCTATTGTCGGTTGGTGCATATTTGAGATTGCACCTGTGCCAACAGTTTAGCGCAACGTGTCCGGGCTTGCCACAAATCTGACAGGTTGGCCGGGAATTGTTTGACGGAGCGGGCGGTTGTAGTGGGTTAGATTGAGTCGCCGGCGATTGCTGTGTACTCTTGGGTTTGCCAAATCTTTTGGTGTTGTTACGTCCGCGATAGTTCGAGGAGGGGTTGGCGTAGAGAGCTGTGGTCGCCGAGTTGTTTTCTTGAGTAAGTTCTTGTTGCAGGTGAATTTCTTCATTGCACAAGAGAGAATAGAAGGTATCGAGGTCGATGGGAAGTAAGGAGTTACGAATTGTGGATTTAAAGGAATTGAACGAGGGAGGAAGACCATTCAATATATGAAGCATTACGTCTTCGGGGTCAATTTTCGAGCCGGATGCGGATATATTATCCACAATTGTTTTGATTCTTGTGAGGTATTGTTGCATCGGCATGTCTTTCATTTGAACGCAGTATAGCTCATTCTTGAGCTGAATCATCCGCGAGCGACTGATCGGTTGAAGACGGCGTTCAAGAACCGTCCAGGCTTCATTGGCGGAGGAAGCAGTGATGATATACGGAAGAATGGACTGTGAGACGGTGGAGAACAGGGCAGAAAGCAGATTGCTGTCGATGAGACGCCAGGTGGCGTAGGTCGCGGAGGTGGTGTCCGTCGGTGCAAGAGTGGTGCCAGTAAGATATCCGGCATACCCATTTGCGGTAAATTGCTGGAGGAGTTGAACTCGCCAGATGGAGTAATTGTCCGTCGTTAGGGGGTGAGGGGCTAAGTTCTTGATATTGGAATCAAGAAACTTCAGCGGTTGCGGAATGTGGCTGGGGGTGGAGGAGTCGGTTGTTTGGTCGGAGGAGGAGGAGGAGTTAGGGAAGGCTTCGGCGTCATCTAGATCCCCCATTGGCTCTGATACCATGAGAGAAGAGGGAATCGGAGCAGGAGACCGGTGAAGCACATAAGCCAAAGAAAGAAGAAGGAGAATAGTAATATTATTATGTCACGGAAAGTAAAATACAATGCGGTATTTATAGACTTAATACCGGTAATAATGTAATTATAATAAGTGAGTACAGTTCTTGATATATCTGCTAATATAAATTACTTACGCTGTAATCATTGTAGCAAGTTCTTCAATTATAAGTTTTGTTTTTTTTGCATAAAATAGTGGTTGTTGACTGAAATTGTACTTTTAGTTTACTTAATTGGAGTTAGCAATGTCTTAATAGTGGATAAATTACTTTGGGATCCTCCAACTTTTGGTCATGTTAACAATGACCAAATTTATAATTGGAGTAAGAAGTTTGTTGAAGAGATTTCAGAAATACATTGAAATAAATTTTATAGAAGAAAGATAACTGGTGAGTTGGCTCTTCTCCCTTGTAGAGAACCTTTTGTAGCGTAACACGGACGAGCGCACTTCTTTGGTATCCTGAGTCTTTATTCTTCTCATACTCTATTCTCACTATGAATGCACCAAACATTTTGATGCAAGAGTAACACTTCAGTGAGTTACTCAAATTCGACCAAACTTTAAGGCTCAAGATTATTGCAAAGTAAAAAATAGAAAGTTGAAGTAAAAACAAGATAAAAAATCAATGGAAAATAACCTGAGAAGAAAACAGGCCTTATTTAAAATTGTCTTCAAGTTGGGTCTTACACTTGGAGCAGCTTGAGCTTTGTGATTCTTTCTTTCCCTCTCCTTTATGATGGTTAAGGTTTACAAGAAGCTCAAATGATCGAAAAGGACTTATAAAAGGTCCATAATACATCATTACATAAGGTATTTATGGACAGAATTATGGTTTCTAGCCCTTGCAAGATACTGGAATCTCCTTGTAACAAATTTGGATACTATAACATCCTTTTACACATTTTGAAAACTGATAAGATGGAGTGAACACATGTCGACTATTAGTAGGTTGGTAGGTTACAGTGACGACAAGTCAACTACTAAAATGTTGACAAGTAACCTGCCAGCTTGCACATGTGCTACCATGGAAAATAAGAGAGGCCAACTTATTGTAGTTTGCACATGTTTAGATCCACTAATTTTAAGATCAACATGAGGATTTGATTTGATAACAGGGATTCATGCTGGAAAGAAGCCATATATACAACCCCCAACTACTATAAAGAAGAACTAACCAAAAACTCAAAATTTTGACCAACAGAATATGTTCTATTCTGCAAGCTTGGTTGTCCACCTTCGAAGTCTTTATAACTCTAGCAATCCAAGTAAGGAAAGGAAGGCGATGGAAATAAGTTACAAATTAAGGTATTTCCCTATAAACACGAAGTCATATTGTGTACAATATTTATTAAAATATCTAAATTGGTATAAGACGTCTCTAAATCACAAAATGTGCAAGCTTTACTAGAATATAAAAGTTCCAAGCAAACAAGAATTTAGTTAATACTCAGTAAAAAAAAAAACTTGTCTACAATCAAGAAATCATATCTAACTATTATAACATTAGCTTTTAACCAATGGCGGAGCTAGGCTGGGGCTCATGCTCCATTGCGTCTGCCCAATAACACTATTAGGGCACAAATTTTAGGTTTTAGAACTAGTATTTTGTCTCTAAGTACCTTCACAAATCTTGATTTGCTGGAATTGCTACGTTTTGTCTAAAATTGTTATTTATCTTCGCCTCTTCCTGTAGTCTTTCTCAATATTGTGTATAGAGTTCTTCGGCTGCTGCCTTAGGTCTTTCATAGTCCCCTCACATTGAATCCCTCTTATATTTTACTTCTTCTTAGTCTTTTTTTTTTTCTCTCTCTCTCGCTATCTCTTCTTCTTCTTTCTTCGCAGGGTTGCCTCTAAGATCTTCATTCGCATAGAGATCCTTGCCAGTTCTCCAGTCGGTTCCTTAGGCTTGCCCAAGAAGCATTGTGACTCTCTCTCTCTCTCCCTCCTCCTTTCATTGCTACATCTACTATGTAATTGGTTATTTTACTTTCATATAAAAGTTGTGACTGCTAAATATGTTTGTTTTTGAGGGAGAGGATTCACATGAGTGGATCTACAAGGTGAAAATATACTTTATCATTAATAGGTTGACAGAGGAGGAGAGACTGACGACATCCGAGATGTGCTTGGAGGGGAAAGCATTGGCATAATACTAGCGGAGGGATACGAGGCGGCTCATACGAACCTGGAGGGAGTTAAGGACTACTTGTTGAACGTTTATGAACCAGCAGGGGAGGAGACTTCTATGAGCAGTTCTTCGCTCTGACACAGGAGGGGACAGTGGTGGAGTACTGTGAGCAGTTTGAGCACCTGGCCAACCGACTAGAATGACTTTTGGAGATTGTACTGGAGGATTCTCATGCGAAAACAGCCATAAGAACTCCAAAATCTGCACTTATTCGCTTACGAAAACAGTAGCCAAATCTCTACAAAAGCTGTAGGAATTTCGCAAAGAAGCCACGCTTGCCAGTCATGTCTTTTGCATAAAGATCCAACAAGTGATGAAGAAACATGTTCCGAATAAGCATAGAGATATTTCGTCTTCCATCAACCTTGCAACTAAGCATACTTCCCAAACATTATAAGTTCTTTTGTTTGTTTTGAGATAAATAACCAACACAATGTTTAGCAAAAATTGAATTTATTCTTGCCAACGAAGTAAGCCTACACAACCACATTCACAAACCTGATCAATGAATGACACTTGGAATAAAATTTGGGTGTAAACTGACTCGTGTAGTTTCTAAGGAAGATGCCAACTCAAACTTCAAGCTTTCTTTTCTTAGTTTCAACAAGATCTACCACGCACATGCATCGCAAGAGACAAAACTTAAGCCACTACAATTATTCAAATCTTTCGTATTGCATGGGGAGTTGATCTCGGCGTAAGTATTTAACACTTTCAAACATATAACTTTTCTAATAAACACATGAATTTGCTCTTCTTTTGAAAGTGCACATGATATTGGAATATAATCTTGAATGTAAGCATTCTTTAATATGTCGAAACTTTGCCAAATATAAAACTTTTGTACATGAGCCACCTTCCA